TATTTATAGTAGTCTTTAATATGATACTATTCAGCTACTGTTCACCGGTCTTGTCGGACAGCAATCTTGCAGGGCAGTTCGGCGTCTCTCTGACGCCTATTTAATGCGATTTGAGGTTTATGCAATCATTAACTGTCAGGCATTTAATGCAAGCATGGGGGCATTTATTGCTGACAGGCTCTCTTGTCTAGGCTTGCCTATAGGGCGACAGGCTACGAACGTCCGTCCCATCGCTCAACGATGACCTTCCAAGTGGGAATATTTTAATGTTCACCGAGCCCCGCCTTGACCTCGGAGTGGCCGCTCTGCATCTTCAGGTCGGCACTTTTCTCGAATATGCTTACAAAACATTCCTGATCCATTCGCCAGTCCGGCACCCATCCACCCTGGCTCCTTCATTCACGAGTCGGGGTGCCGACGTCAAAAAGCGCTCCCGTCGAGATCCTGAACACTTTACTTCCCGGTTCAGCTCGGCGCTTCCTCCTTAGACCGGGTCCTAGGCTCGGGTCTCGATAGCAACGTCTCCCCGGTTCGTTCCTGGCTAACTCGGATATCAACAGGATTCAAGCCGTTTGCCTTCAAATTGTTTACCGTTCTCGGTAATGATGGAATTCGGTACTCCGAAGCGGCAAATGATTGATTTCCATACAAAATCGATGACTTTCTGCTCGGTTATCGTGGCTAACGGTTCGGCCTCGGCCCATTTAGTAAAATAATCGACCGCCACGATAGCAAATCGGACGCCTCCTTTTCCGGTTGGTAAGGGGCCTATGAGATCGATCCCCCATTTGGCAAAAGGCCATGGACTGTAGATTGATTTGAGTTCTTCGGGAGACTGGTGGATGTTAGGTGCGAACACTTGGCATTTTGGGCATTTGCGAACCCATGTGGCAGCGTCGGTTTTCAAGGTCGGCCAGTAATAACCCTGTCGCAATATTTTATAAGATAGGGCCTGCGCACCAGGGTGGCTTCCACAAATCCCTTCGTGGACTTCTTCAAGAATATACCGTGAATCGGTTTCACTTACACATTTTAAAAGTGGGACAGAGTATCCCCTCTTAAATAAAGTTCCGTTGTCCAGTGTGTACCGAGCTGCTCGGATCCGAAGTGCACGAGCTTCTTTTGGGTCCGGGGGCAAGGCCCCAGTTTCCAAATAACGAATAATAGGATCCATCCAAGTCGATGACTTACGTGGCATCACCGGATCGATGGTGGCGACCTCGGAAAGTACAGTCGACGGTTGCTCTTGCTGGCCGATTTGGACATACTCCGCGCTCTCCATCCCAGTACTTGAGGCCAGCCGAGACAAAGCGTCTGCTTAAACATTAAGAGTTCGAGGGATGTGTTCAACGTCAACGGAGAACTTTGATAACTTTCGCTTTACCAAGGAGAGATACGGTGTCAACCGAGGTTCTTTGACTTCGTACGAACCGTTGATTTGATTAACAAGGAGTTGAGAGTATGAAAAGACTTTAAGGTGTTTCACATTCATAGATTCAGCCAAATTTAATCCGGATAGCAGTGCTTCGTACTCGGCTTCATTGTTTGTTGCCGGGAAAAGAAACTTTACCGAGTGACAGAACAGTCGGTTTTCCGGATTAGCCAAGACTATTCCGGCACCTGCTCGGTTGGCCGTTGAAGAACCATCAATATAGAGGACCCACGGCTGATTATCATTTTGAACTATGATAGCCGGAGTGAATTCGGCGATGAAGTCGGATAATGCTTGAGCCTTGATCGTGGTCCTCGGTTGATAATGGATATCAAATTGTCCGAGCTCGATGGCCCACTTGATCATGCGTCCTGAGGTGTCAGGTCGGTGCAAGATTTGCCGAAGTGGATACGAAGTGCGAATAGTTACGGAATGTTCTTGAAAATAAGGTCGCAATTTCCGAGCAGCAATCACAAGTGCAAACGCCAATTTTTCCATAGGAGGATAGCGCAATTCGGCGTAATGTAGGGCTTTGCTGATGTAATAAATAGGCGATTGCAACATTCCTTCTTCACGCACCAACACAACACTGATCGCAGAGTCACTAACTCCGAGGTATAGAAACAGCATTTCCTCGGGTCTCGGTTTTTGTAAAGTTGGTGGAGAGGCGAGTGTCTCCTTGATGCTGATGAGAGCTTTCTGACATTCTTCGGTCCATTCAAAGCGCTTTCCCTTTTTGATTGCTTCGAAGAAAGGTTTGCAACGGTCCGTGGATTTGGAGATGAACCGATTGAGAGCAGCAAGTCGGCCAGTTAGGGCCTGAACACCCTTAACCAAAGTCGGAGGAGCTAGGTCTTGAATGGCTTTTATTTTGGCCGGGTTGGCTTCAATTCCACGTTGGCTGACCATGTAACCCAGAAACTTTCCTGATTTAACTCCGAAGGTGCATTTTTTGGGATTTAAGACCATGGAATATGATCGGAGAATAGCGAACATGTCTTGAAGATGTGTTATATGATCAGAAGCGTGTGCCGACTTGACGAGCATATCGTCAACATAAACTTCCATCGTATGACCTATCAGCGTAGCGAACATTTTATTGACAAGGCGCTGATAAGTGGCTCCGGCATTTTTCAACCCGAATGGCATCATAGTATAGCAGTACAAGCCTCGTGCTGAATAAAACGAGGTATATTCGGAATCTTCAGGATCCATAGGAATCTGATTATAACCAGAGTAAGCATCCATAAAACTCATTAATTCATGTCCCGACGTGGCGTCAACCATATAGTCTATGTGAGGGAGTGGATAGCTATCCTTCGGGCATGCCTTGTTCAAGTCGGAAAAATCGATACACAGTCTCCATAGCCCATTACTCTTTTTGACAAGAACAGGATTTGAGACCCACGTCGGATATTTGGCTTCCTTGATGAACTTGTTGTCGATGAGTTTTTTGACTTCTTCTTCCAACGCCTTCTGACGATCCGGCCCCAGTTTCCTCCTCTTTTGTACGACAGGTCGGACGGTCCGGTCGAGGTTCAATTTATGGCTGGCGACACCGGGGTCAATACCCTTCATGTCCTCATGCTTCCAAGCGAAAACATCGGGATTGCATTTGAGAAATGAGATAAGTTCTGACCGAAGAGGTTCTTGAAGATGACTCCCGATACGCAATGATTTGTGGAAGACTGGTTCGTCAATATAAATC